GTGTGATGTTCATTAGGTTCACAMATYCAAACTTGTATGCATTTCGCCAAAATCATCCATCGTTTTGATGAATATTATGAACCAGATTTTTCGCYAATGATATACACTATTGATCGTATAGATTGGCAGTTTCGTAGTTGATTGGAGGTTACGAAATCGTCTGAATAATATAGGTTCACGATGTGATGCGATTTTTTACAAAATTATCCTTTGAACAGTTGTTCATAAACATCTCATTTAATATATTAATTAAATGATTATTTTTGTAGTCTCATTTAATAAGGACCGTTTGATGAGAAAATAAATGATCAAGCTCGGTTAGCATAGTTTGCACAATAATTTGGGTTAGTATTTGAACCAGCCCGATATATATTTATATATGTGTGTGTGTGTGTGTGTGTGTGCGTGTGCGTGCGCATATAGGTTAGCTTAGAAGATTAATGTAAAACAAAAACTTTTATCAACAATCTATTATCTATCAAAAGTATCGATCTTTCTGCAAACAAACTCACTGGTGGCATTCCCAATCGCATTGGAAATCTGAAAGGTAACCAAAAAGTTCTTATTGTGTTCTATCTATTAAACAACTCTTGAGATGAATTTCGACAATGGAAAATTTATGAAAATCCAGAGAGTTTTGCAAAATGTTTGCACCTGATTTTACAAAAAGAAACTATTGATTAAGATATCGAACTTCAGACGTTTGTTAGTTTATAAAAACAAACAGTCTTATTGATTCAAATTTCAGATTTCATCGCCACCTCTTATTAATCAAAAGTGAAATAAGACTTCAATACCTCTTAAAAAACAAACATCACCTAAGAAATCTTCCAACCTCAAGGTTAATCAAGATCTAAAGAGCATCTTCAATTAAAAAAAAAATTAAAATAAAGAATTAAAAATTAAAATCTTCAAACAAAATTTATATTTATGTTCTCTTTTTTTACATTTTAAAGATTACAGAATGGATTATATTATTTTATTTCTAAATCCCCCCCCCCCCCTCTCTCTCTTTCTCTCTCTCCTACTTTCTCTATTTTAGAAAAATTTCAAAAAAATATGTTTGTTGGTTACATATTTCTGATCTATACAAAATATATGAGCGAAAGCAATTAAGATGAAAATTATACAAGAAACAAATAGCTATAAAAAGAAAAGTATCACCATTAAATTATAGTCATCATTGTCATTGTATCGATTGAAATAATTGAAATACACTTGATATGATCTCCACCTTGCTCCCGTAGTATGTGTAAAAGTGTATTCAGAAAAGCTTACAATGAACTAAGCATGAGCTACTATTTACACACCTAAAAAGAGATAAGTCAAAAGCTTACATCAATGTAGAGGTTCCACATATAAAGGTGCTTTAACAAACTTTAGGCATAAACAAGTACGCTTTTGAGTAGGTTCGCACTTGATCAGAGGAGGATGTTGAGTCTAGAAGTAAGTTCCAGAGATAGGTTGGCTATCTGCCTTTCCGAGTCATCTTCTGGTTAAATCCCTCTGGAATGTCTTTCAACATAGTTCTGGACTTCAGCACTTGGCACTTTTTCAATACTTTTATATAAACAGAATTGGAGTCTAACAGTGTTAGAATAAAAATCCTCAAAACTTTATGAAAGTCCACTATGATCAATCTTCAAGATAATCTTCTATGAATCAATGACATATTTGGATTTAACAATAAGAACATGTAGAAGGAGATTGAGAGAGAAAGTCAATCTAGTCAAACCTTTTATATCTCACAAAATATACGTAATGTTTAAAATGAATCTCCTACTTACTATTACACAAAAGACAAAATCTATTTATAGGGTCAAACAATAACCCTTTCTAAGTCAAAGTCAAACTACCATACAAAGTCAAACACGATGTCTAAAACAATTATAGATAAAATTAACTTTCAAGACGAATACAATTTTAAAACTGAAATTCAGTCCTAACACTTTTATTTTAAAGAATTTGTTGACGATGCTCTAAGTTGCTTGCAATTTATTTTGTACTAAAAATGAACATTTTAAAGTTTAACTACTCAAAATAGAAGATAATATTATTTTTATTCAAATAAACAAATATTGATATACAAGGTGCCTCTCTACTCTCTCGTACGTGACTATCACCCTTTTCCAAGATGTAGTATATTAATTTCTATTTAGTTCACTCAACAAAAAGTATGATGTACTTCTATAAACCTGTCATATATCTATGTTGAATTTAGGGGGGTAGGATTGCTTATTTGAAATAACTTATGTTTTTTTTACAAAAATACTTATTAACTTATTATAAATCAGAAGAGTTTAACTTTTTCAAAAACTTCTTATTATCGGTTTGACACCATATAAGTTGTTTATCCAAACACTCAAAAGTGCTTATTACTGGTGTCACATCAGAATAAGGGGTTGTTTGTTTGGCTCTTAATGGTGACATTAAGAGCCAACCTTTTAATCGGTAAGATGTAAGGGTTGTTTGGCAAAAAAAAGTCTCTTAATAGTTACATCAACCACTTAATCATTTTGTGTCTAGGTTAATCATTTTGTGTCTAGGGCTTCACTAAACCATTCAGATTTCATTTTTTCCAACTCTGCCCTCTTTACACCAGTGGTTCCTTCACATCGCATCCCCCCCCCCCCCCAAAAAAAAATCTCCTCCAAAATCTCCATCTAGGTTGTCAAACTCTTCCCCAAATCTCACCAATTTCATCTGGGTTTTCCATCAATCCACCAAAAAAATGGGTATATGCATCAGCAAAACAAAAAATTCTTCAAAAACCGATGTAGTTCTTCACTCAAATCAAAGATCCGATGACCCCAACATACTCTACACCAAATCCCCACCTCCGGCAACCCAAACTCCGGCGAGAAAACCACCGCCACTGCCGAGCCCCAAAAGGGTTTTCAAATCGAACACGATTCTCAGCAAACCATTCGAAGATGTCAAAGAACACTACACAATTGGAAGAGAATTAGGCAGAGGTCAATTTGGGGTTACTTATCTCTGTACACAGATTTCAACAAATCAAAAATACGCCTGCAAGTCGATATCGAAAAAGAAATTGATTACGAAAGGAGATAAAGAGGATATGAGAAGAGAGATTCAGATTATGCAGCATTTAAGTGGGCAAGCAAATATAGTTGAATTTAAAGGTGCCTATCAAGATAAACTTTATGTTCATCTGGTTATGGAGGTTTGTGAAGGTGGAGAGTTTTTCGATCGGATAATTATATTGGAATTTGATTGTTATGTTTTTGTTTATTCTAGAATTTGAACAAGTAATATTATGTTGGTTTGGAATAATATGAAAACTTGTTTTGAACAAGTAATGTTATGTTTGTTTGGATTAATATGAAATATGTAGTTACATTTACAGAGTAATTGTTTTATTCAGATATCTGCCAAACAACTATATTTCATTCAGTACTAAATCATACAGAGGGTTAAAATGGTAATTTGTTATCATTCAGAGAACATTTACCAAACAACCATATTTCATTCAGCACTTAACCATTCTGACCCTCTTAACCATTCTGAYCACTTAACCATTCTGCACAAAACCATTCAGCAACTGCCAAACAGCCCTTAAGTCAATAAGTTGTTTTTATAAGTAATCCCAAACACCTCCTTAACATTACATGCCGTTTCTTAATGGAAGATGTTGTTGTAGTTTTGGAGAATTATATCATATCATGTATTAAGAATGTAAATAGTAACACTTGATATCGATGTGTGTAAAGAAAAATAATAAATAAAAATGTATATAAATGAATTTAACCCACTTTTTTTTATTAATATTATTATGGTATAAACAGTTCCACCCAACTAATCAATGGAAATTTTGCAATGTATAAGAATATGAATATGAATATGAACATGAAACGACGTTGTATCAAATAAAAGGTTAAAATAATCATGCACGTCATGGTTGTTAAGATAACAAGTAATTTGGTTTTATATATCTTCAACATTAAATATTAAAAAGAAATAGTATTGTGATTATCATGAGAAACCTAAAAAGAAAATGAGACATTATGGAGTTTTTGTACCAAAGTTACCACGTCAAGTTCTAAAATAAGGTTACTTGTACAAAATAATAGAAACTTTCTACAAAAACTTAATCTAAATAATCATAGTTGGAAAACGATAAAATTGATTATTTGTAAAGTCACTACCTACGTGACATCCGTGTTTAGGTGATCGGGATTCGGTTGTTGGGGGGGGGGGGGATGTTCTCGTCCCCTGTGTTATGCCCCTCATCTCCCCGCTCGTTGCGTCAAGTTAAATTTTGATGTGTGTTTGAAGGGAAAGAATCTCTAGTGGATATTGAATATCCGTTTAGTAAAAAAAAGTATTACGAATATGATAGTTTACAATAAAATAAAAAGTCTATATATATATATATATGTTTCAAAAATAAGTATATGTATAAAGGTGAAAGATCATGTGAGAAGGAAAGCTATATTGAGAAGTTTAAGAAAAGATCTGAACCCTTGATCACTTTTAATCTCATTAATGTTGACATTCAATTAATATTGGTCCAAAGGGTGGAGATTTCTTCTAACGCTTCTCACCATAATTTTCTTTTTCACCGGAATCCAACCCTAAGTATAAATTGGCAAAGAATCGTGTGAGAAGTGTAAGAAAAGATTAAAACCCTTGATCACTTTTAATCTAATACTCACCCATAAATTACGTTTTAGAAGATAATTGATCTGATACATCTCGGTGCACCTCATTAGTATTTATATTCAATTAGAATTGATCAAAAGACGAAAATCTCTTCTTATGTTTTTCATTGTAACTTTCTTTCTCACTGGAACCCAACTTTATATAAATTAAAGGTCAAAATTAGGAACAAAAGGTATTACTGGACCATTCCCCTAACTAAACCCGAACCCGATACAGAAATAGATATGGGCCGTTTTAAGGCCCACTCATCGTTGGCCCAGTAAAGCCTTTTTCAATTAAAAGGCTTCTTATCTAGTAAATTGCAAACCCTAGCTACTGTAAACCCTATTTAACCCCGTACGCCTCACTCTTCTTCACCAGCACAACGGTTTCTTCTCGATCGATTGTTTTCCATGTTCGAGTTCCCAAAATTCAACAAATACATGTTTGAATTCGATCTATTCATATCGCTTACGGTACGTTTAAGTTAATTTCGCCAAGCAATTAGGTTTTTTCTCGTAAATTGAAAATATGTGTCGTCGAAATCCTTGAATTTATGAAAGATAGATCTATTTCTGTTTGTTTGAAATTAAAATTTTGCATCTGTTTTACCCTCTCCTGTGATAAAATAAAGATTATCCAAGGAGATATAACTGATGCATATAGCTAATTACAGGATGGCTTACCAACGCATTGCATATCTACAGATTGCTTTAGTGTCAAATGGTCCTTCCTATATTCTTTTTCCATTTCAAAGTTGTTCTCTGAGTTGAATTTGTTTTTGTTTTCAAATTTGTATGTGTTACATTGAAATGGCAGATGATGAAATTTCAGTTCTATGCTTAACACACTGATTAAACCGTGGTGACTACAAACTCCGCTTATTATCTGATGCCATATTATTTGTTATTTCAGCTTTTAATTCTAATTATTACATCGTATTTGTTCAAATGTTGGATGAGGAAGGCAAATGATGCTACACAAAAATCTTATACTACACACTGAATATTTTGGTGTTGAAAACAATTCTCATTTACTGTCTGATGCTTTGCCTTTTTCCAGATCTTGTTATTGACTTTGCATCGTCTTAAAGTTTTTGTTACCTTTTTTAGTAAGATTGTTAATAGTGTTTTCAATTAATTGCTGTTTGATTCGGTGATGAGATTAAGCAGACGGGCGGTCTGAAATGATGCCATGTTGATTGTCTGCGTCATATCCAAATTTTTGGATTCAGCTCTGAGAGTTTCTTCTTTGATTTCGTTCTTGATTTTGGAGTGCTTTTTGTGGATTTTTTTGATTTAAAGGAATTTCGTTTTATGCTATGATGATTATGCAAATTTATGTCTGGACATATGAGACATTGTCATTGAAATGAAGCGCATACTTCTGAGCACTAGACAATATGAAACTGATTCTAGACATTTTCTTAATATGGTTAAACTTAGTTTTTTTGATAAATGTTATGGATGATATAAACCACTGATCTACCCCTATTGTTAATCAAACGAAAACTTTTGTTTATCAAACCTAGAAGCTGCCATTCATTTTTACCATCAAAACATAATAATCTGGAGGCTACGAACCCAAGAGGCTGTACCCATAAATTAAAACTAAATATTTTGGAGGTTGTACCCGAAAATTGAAGATGACAGTGGAAGTTGATGGAAAAAATTGGCTGACAAAAATTTAAGACGAAGAAAATGCCTTGAAATTGTTTCAACTGGTGCAGATGATGAGTACAAATTGTCATTGATGAAAGGAAATTGATGTAGGTGATGGTGTTAGAAATCGTCAATTGGAATGAAATTGAACAAAATCTGGGAAAATCCATGGAAGTGAAATTGAACATCCATGGAAGAAATCGAAGAAAATGTTAGGACAAGATAAAGAAAAATAGAATAATTATTGTGAAACATAATTGGATAAAGTATAACAAGTAAAGTAATGAATGTAGACTTAAATGAGTATTATTGCAACGTAAGGAGATAAATTTTGATTTTAATGTTAATTTATATTTTTTGTTTCTGTTGATTTTATATGATTTTGAGAAAACGATAATGTTTTTAGTTTTTAATGAAATATAAATTTGAAAAGAGTAAAAATTTAAAAAAAGTAAATCGAAATTAGTATCAAATTAACTATTCATTAGTTTTTGTTGTTTTGATCTAAATTTTTAATTTTATATTTTATTATAATTTATTTTTGATTTAATAATAATATAATATATTTTTTCT